GACAAGACAAATGGGTTGTGCAAACCTACTTTTCCATCACAAAATACTACGAATTATCCAAAAGGATTAAGACAGCAGAGGGACAGAGCCAGACAAAGTCGTCGTCCGTGTGTGCCCGTGGATGCGTGTCGTGATCATTCGTTGTGTGTCGCATTACGTCACTGTGTGTATATATTGCGCAAAGGTTTGGATCAGCGTTAGTCATAAATGTGCTTAATTTGAGACCTACGTAAAAGTTATTAAATGTGGTGAAAATCCGGGATAATCGTATTCGCCAATGAAATGTAAACAGAGGTTCATCCCGCCTGATAGAAAGCTGCGAAAAGGAAGCATTATGTCAGCGACTTGAGTGTCAGGATTAACGAGTGTGATTCAATGGGACGCACAACGTTCCCTTATCTGGTAAGAGATATTCAACGGACGCAATTGGAAAATATATAAGAAAAGATGGGTAACTGCTAGTTTTAACAACTGTTTCCTAATAAACAAGGTTTTTGTTATTTATTTGACAAATACGTTTGTTCTGGTAAGTTGGTCAGTGATAACCCAGAAGAGCCTACAATTATTAGATTAATTTTAGGATTTTTAGTCTACGACCTGTACAAATTCACACTGGGTGTGAACGGTCACTGCACTTGTGACAAGGAAACCCAAAGCCATCATTGGACACATTAAAATATATTGATAATGTAGAATCAATACGGTTGCATTTTTAGCAACTGATTAATCTTTATATGATTCAAAAAGATTTATCTAAGAAAAAATTCCTTTCCCAGTTGGATAGATAAAATTTATAAATGGGGATTATATCTGCTTATAGTTCTGTAACCACAAGGGGGTAAAACCTGAAAAACTTGGAAGAGCGAAGAGGTTATTTACCTTTGTTAAAATAAGAAAACTTGTTGAAATCACTTCTAGATGTGGTCATCGAGGACATTAATATGTGAAACAAGAAGAATGCCAAATTGAAATTTAAGCGTAGATGTAAAACATTAGAAAATAATTAGTAATTTGTTAGTAGATAAAAATGTCTTCGTGAAGTTGTATAAATCGGGCATTTGGTGTTTGGAAGTCCTCTCAACTTATTTAGAAGGATGTGGTTTAAGTTTTAAAAAATTAGACATTTGAGTAATCAATGCGGACTTTTCTTCCAAATTCCATCACATAGGCCCGTTAGTAGTCAATTGGTTTGAGCCAAATGCACGTAAATTGAATAAACAACACACTACCCCAAATGTTTTTAATGCAGTTTCTATGTTCAAGTCAGGCTGCGCTAGATAACAGTCAATTTGCCTTTATTTACTAGCAGGTCAACAATATGACTTAAATGTTCTTCTCTTGCCAGATAAGTCCCTATATCGTGAAGGGAGGGTGTTGGATAACGGCAGTGGTGCAGTTACAGAGACGTTCATTATATACCCAGGTCAATTGATTAAGTGACTCATTTGGAATTACATATGTTTGGACCGGCTTTAATCACCTAATTTGATATGAATTTTCATCCTTTTAGTTTGGTGACTTCAAAAGAAAAACCAGTTTCAGTGTTAATAATTTTGATGGGAAATAGTTTTGCAGACTCCAGATTACCGTTTCTGTTTTTGACAATTCTTGGAGTATGCTCAAAAATTATTCGTTACCGGAAAATGTCGACAAATAGCTAGGTCATTGGATTGCGAAGCCACATTGGCATTTCTATAAACCCACGTGTGATTTGCTCTAAGCAGCAAAAAATTTGAGATCATGTCTTCCGAACGGTCTTGTAAGCTCCACCCCATCGTTGTCCTTGATCTAAAAAAATTTTGGTGAACGTGAACAGAAACGTCTCTATATTTATTATTTTCATCTGTTTAAGTGAAGACCCTAATATTAAATTAGTGGGTTGAGTTCAAGCAGTCGTGATGTTGACAAAAAAGAGCAAAATATTAGGAGGTGCATAAAGTCTTGTTAAAAATTTAACAAGGAACAAAATTTTGACTCATTGTTTAGTTAATGAAAATGGATTATGAATAAAATGCTCATACGGTATACACACGGTATAGTGCATTAACTAAGGCTTAATGTTTTGCCAAAAAACCACGCCCTGTCGAAATCTACGTCACAGATCAGGCAATTAGTGTTGTTATTTGAGTGCATTATACCAAGGAAACTCCGAGGCACTTGTAAGAACCTAGGAATTCAAAATTTAACAACCTTTATGCCTGCGCTAAATCTTGTGCAATCGCAACCGTTACCACAGTTCAAAATGACTGCTTCCTATGCTTTCTCACCTCTGTAGACCCTGTTGAGTCAGTTGGCTCAAACTCTGTGGCCATTCCATTGGACTGTAATGTTTGTTTTGAACTTTTCCTGCATGTGCACGCACCCAATGACTCATGTTTATGCTCTTCACTCATTTGACCTATAAATACGCGGGAACAGTCACAACTGAGCAGATCCAGGTTTATTGGCCCAACAAACAATTTAATCTCCGTCGATTTTGATCGCCTGTTTTTTCTTGGGATATCTGATGTCGAATTCAGTTCTCTGGTGTTATTTTGAGACCCATTCTGGAGGCCTTCAGCATGCTTGAGTCCTAGACTGAAATGCTTCATTGCAGTGGAGTCATTTGAATGGTGTGAATTTAAAGAAATTTTGTTGTTCAGAGATGAATTGCAAACATGGCTATTTAACTAAGATGAATACGGTCCACAAAATTGTTTTTGAAAAAGTATGGTCTTGTACTTAAGCAAACGTCGACTGCTCTGATAATTTCGGCAAGTATATTCAAACGGTAAGGAAAACACGACCATAATTATAATTGCATGACCGTCATATTTCATATCGTTGAATTGTGAACGTTGGAATGTCCCAAGCCAGTAACATTAGTCGCGAAGTGCTCACTTCGGTTGTTAATAAAAAATCTTTTACGTGATGCTTGAAGCACTAATTGCTACAGGTGTACAAAAGAATTGGTAAAAGTAGCAGTCATACTAGGTGCAGGAAGACCTGGGGTTTATTAAATTGTGCAAAAAGAACAATGGAGGAGAAACAAGAGCTTATGATGTTATCAGTAGTAACTTGGAGCTACCTCCACATATGTTCCTCATTGCTCTGGTTCACAACATCTAAGATTTTGCACATTTTGTCTCCCTTGTTGCTTCACGCAAGTTATTTCTTTAACGCTTTTACATTTTCTTATTTGGTTTCTAATTGCGACAGGCTGTAACTTCTCCACACAAACACAAACGCACACAGTTAACCCAAAGACAGAATAATTAAAAGGATGTGACGACGGAAGGAAAAATCAAGATCGGTGAAAGAATAAAGAAAATCAATTTCCTGCACAGACACTACAACAAACGTTCTGGCTTGTGAGTCGAAGAAAAAAAACCAGGGAAAAGTAGGTGCCAAAAATTACTCTGGGTAAACGTAATCAAAGACTGCGTGATAATAGTTGGAGTACTATAGTAGTACGGAAAATTAATACATGTTGCGCCTGGTTGAAGATCGCAGACTCCGGCGCCGGTTTTCTGCTGCGATAAGAGTAGTAGGAGGTCGATAATCTGGTGAGGGTGAGGACAGTGTCGTAAGGTGGGCAAAGCAATCATGAATGAACTTTTGATGAGAGGAAGCAAAACTTTGGGCTGCAGGTTCGTCGATAGGTGTCTGCAAAAGAGTACCGGGCGGTGAGGGGCATCGCGACGACTCCGGTGACGACGATGTCACGGACGAATAAGTTTCGTCAAGGTCACTTGTTAAGTAGTCGTTCGTGCAGTCCATACTGGACACTTGGATGTCCTGCTGCATCTCTTCGTAATGGAGATTGTTCGAACTGGTGTTGTAGGGTAATGCAGGAAGAGCACCATTTGTGGGATTATTTGTGGAGCTTCTTGCCTCATGAGTTGTGACTGTTAAAAAGAAAAATTACAAATAGTTCAGAAAACAACAAAGTGCCGCATTTTAATGAATAATCCCACAAGATAATAGAATAGGCGAAAAACACGTTTAGATATAATTTCAACGGTACTAAAATTGTTTGTTTTATTGCTGATAATTCGCTTTCACGCACGATTTTATCACGGAACTAACTTGGATCAGCTTATATTACTGAATGGGGCATTGTGGAGCCAAAAGTCAAGGTTAGACTATTTAAGTACACTTCACAACTCTTGATGCGGTCGCATTATATTGTAATGCAATATATGTTCCGCATATAATCCTTGGTCAGATTTAATTCAAGGAAGTCCAGGTGGACATTAGAACTGGCAGCAAAAAATTGGAAATTGATGGAAAATCTCATTTTGATTGGTTTTTAACAATCCTAACGTCTCCATATTTTCCTCAGGCTATAGTTTTAAGGCAGTTGCAAATCTTGGTTGAATGAAAAAGAAGACGCGTGAACTACTCTGGTAAATTTGATTAGAATTGACGCATTTCAAACCAATCTGTTTGAAGATATTTAAAGAAAACGTTTTAAACCACTAAGGTTGTTTTAATTTCAAGTTAGTGTGAGAGCCCTAAGCGACGTTTTAGGACCCATTGTGATTACTTACTCCTATTATCAAATGTTTATGCATTATTAAGTCTGTTTGTTTCCCCATCAAAGAGGTGGTACTCAGTTGAGGAAACATGAATACTGCGACATTTCGTATATATTTACCTAGCAAGAAAATAATTATTCTGGGTGTGCTTAGCTAGAAGACTCGGAATAGAATCGAATTTTGCTTGTCTGAATAGCTGTTGGTAAAATATTATTTGTTTTTATGATTAGAAAGGGCTTAATGATGTTCAGAAAGCCAGATTTATCAGTGTCAGCATGCATTTTCTTCAGTGGTGGGAAAACACCCATAGCATCACGACAATATTTAGTGAAGGACCAAGCAGAATGAACCAACAATGGCAACTTTCCAAGCGAAATGTTGAGCATACTCGCAGCAACATAGGAATAAAACCATGAACGAATCCACAACTCGTGAACAATTACAGAATCTATGCACGTTCAGGCCACTTCCTGTGGCAAACAGCATCACGCGTTTAGGCAACTTTAATTTTGCAGTCTTCAATAAACTGAATAAACTCCGCTGGCCTTTATCACTGGCCCTCTCGATATTCATCATCATTTCTATCACATTGTTCAAGTTTTTTCGTTGTGGTTGGGTGAGGGTATTCGTATAGGCGATTTTGGACGAAAACGATACATGCATTAATCGTTGCGTGGGAAATAATTGGTGACAAGTTACAGCACCTCATTTTCATGGTACATAGATTTTAGTTAAGCAATATTTGCATGTCAGAGCTTCGCATTTTTTTCAGTAATTTTTTTCCATCAAAAAATATGCAGTCGATATTTTAGTATACGCCTAGAACTCACGATGGTATGCCCACACACGATTCAAGTAGAGGGCTGGTCCTAGTGAGGGCAAGTGGTATTCTTCCTTCCTCATCACTGCTCATGAACCCTAGCTACACCTGACCGGGCAATCCCTTGTCTGATAACTAATCCCAATAAAATGCATATTTCAGTTTGAGGGTTACTTGATGGCACCTTCATCCAGTTTAAGCTAGGTGGACAAATATTTTCATTCTGTTGACAAGCTATCATGAAATACTAGCGTAAAGATTCAAGGGAAATAACCTGCTTTTATGTCTAGATCTCACCTTACCACTTTGAATATTTAGTCACACTGTCGCCTTCTTTAAAACGCCCGCTGAAATTTAGTAGTACCAGTGAATGGCGTAAGTGGCAAAGTTTATCCTTTAATTACATTAGAAGGAGATCAAATGCATATTACCTATATATTATGAAAAGAGAAAAAAAATTAGCTGTAGCTACGTTTGAAATTAAAATCGAATCAATTTATGAAGTAAGCCAGACCTGGGTACGTTTGATCGCTAATTTTACCTGTTTAATCCGAAAGTTTTATATAGTGTGTAGTCAAGTTAACTAATAATTGATGATTACTTATTCGTTTCGTTTCGTTCTTTCAAACGATTATGATAATTTTTTCGTTTCGTTTTTTTTCGTTTAAATGACCTAAGACGATCTATTTAAGTAGACTTTCCCAGTGATTGTCAACGGTGTGCAGGTCATTATCCTGCAGCGAATAAACATACAATTTTATCAAACCACAAATGGTGAGATAGTCTTAATTGAAATATGTGATGAGAAAGAAACTACAGCAACGGTTGGTTTGGAACATGGGTGATTTTTATGGCGTCCTGTCGAAGAAATTTATCAGTCTCAACCATAGATGAGGTAACACAAGCATACAACTAAATTCACCGCTCTGATATTCGTCCATCTATTTCAAATCAGACGCTAACTCAGGTTGATTTCCTGTATCATATTATAATTTTGTGCAAATGTTCAACAAGCTCTCGATTTTCAGTTATATTTCAAAATATACCATTGGTTATTAAAGCTGAACAGTTAAGATCAATAATACATTCCTTCCATGGATCATATTTGTCAAACGACGAAGACTGGATTCTGGAAACATAATTCAGCTTAAATATTAGAGCTGCAGCACAAGGTAAATAAAATATTTTTCCTTAACTTTGTTGATTTAATTAAATGTTCTACTTCCACTTATTTAAAACTGTTCAAAAAATTAACAAATACATTTTAAGTAACTTTTACATATTAACATCATCTAGGGGAAAAAGCACAGAAATGAACTAAATCTTCTGAAATCCGGCATGCTCTTATTAGTAAACAAACGACTTGAGGAAAGACAATATAGGTGTTCTTTTTTTAACTTTGCTAGTTTAGTGTCTTTACCCATAGTTTCGGACGCCCGAATACAGAAGACGTAAGGAGAGGTGGTGGGCATTGGGGTTTTATTGCGCAACTTTTCAACAATTAAATGGGTTTTTGTACAACAAGAACAGAGCAAATAGAGAGTTGATAGGAAGTTCAGTACGGTTGATGGCTGCGCCTTGGAACTGAGGGAGGTCTGAGTTGATGACTAATTGAAAATTTACGCAACATGCCCGTCAGCCTTCATCCCACCCCTCTGTCACTCTACAGACCTCTATATACTTCTTAGACTTAATTATCACTTATAGATGAGTCTCCGAACAATATCATCAAAGTTTACGGTGAATTTGCCAATTTTAAACTCCTTACAGAAGTGCCAGCAAGGAGATTTAAGAATACAACCACAGTACGAGACATTTGATGGTTAAAGTAAGCGGTAAGACCTTTCCTTGTATTAGAAGATATGATCAAATGAGGACAAGTATGCTTCATCCGATTAAAAATTCGTGGAATCCTGATGATAAGCACAATAACTAAGAAGCCCAAGTTGTCAAACTGGTCGGGTTATAGTCTACAGAGTCCGTTTCTTTCCTTGATTTTATCGAGGTTTTAAAGTATGCTTACGAAACTATTGCAAGTATACCCATTTATTCCTGTCTAAACCATTTAAGAATATTCATGTTCACTGAAGTGGAATATCACGCGTAAGCCATCAATGAGGATTTTAAGATCTCGCTATAAAGTACTCATTGAGCACATGAATATAATGAAGTTGGGATGCTTCTTAGCAAAACTAAAATTCATGTTAACTAGTTCAGTGTCTACAGTCGAAAAATTCTGCCATCTAAGTTTTCCAAACTGAGATCCAAATAGCCCCATAAAATATTTGTGCTGCTACAGTATGCGGTCATATAAAAACGTCTTGTATATTTATGGACAATAACTTGGACTCAGGTCCCGTTTTAAACGTTCTCGGTGAAAAACGTGATAACATTTACATTACCGTACACTTTGATGAACAATTACAAACGTTTTTTTTCATTAACTGAAAAGTCTTGCCGTGCTTACTGGTGTTAGCCTCTGAAGGGTTCGTAGTCCAAATTACCATGGGTGAACATCCAGCGATAGATTCATTAGTCAACCCATTTGACTGAACTACTTCATCCGTAAACATTGGCGTTGAATGATTGGAATTTGGCTGCGGATTTACAAACTTTGAGACCAGTACCCTGTTTTTCAAGGTACAGGCACAGGTGGCACTGGCGGGGAAAGTTAGGGGCCGAATCTCAGAGCATTCATGTGTCTTTGTGTCAAAACATTCAACCAAGCTAAGAATACCCGCCTCGGGTTCATCAGACCATCCTCCGATTATGTAGATGTCATCTCCAAGCACTGCAGATGAGAGGTTACTTTTCCTGCGGTTCATTTGTCCGACAATTTCCCACTTCCCGGTGTTAGGATCAAAGCGTTCAATGCTACGAAGTCGCGTGCTTCCGTCATTGCCGCCAATAGCGTAAATATAGCCACCATGAGCTGCAAGTGATATTCCGCCTCGAGGAGAGTGCATACGGCTGATAAGTGTCCATTGATTCGAGTCAGCGTCGTAGTACTCTGCAGAGTCGTGATACCGACGTCCTTCAAAGCCGCCGGCGACGTAGACCCGGTTGTTGAGTTCCGTAGCTGCGGCATCACTCCGAATTCGATTCATCGATGCAATTGGTTGCCATAGGTTCTCATCTAGATTGTAGCGTTCAGCCGAATCTAGGCGTCCTTGGTTCTCTCCGTTGTGCCCTCCGAGTGCGTAAATGTAGCGAGCGGCGTATGCAACGCTGACGTAGTAACGCTTCTCGTACATGCAACTAATTTCGTACCTAAACAAATTAATTGGGTCTTAGTTTCGCTTAGCATTACATCGAAAAAATACCACAAAAATAAATATTGTAAATAAGGTTATTGTTACATTCCTTTAAATCATTTGTTTTTCAAATTATTAGTCGTTATCCCCTATTCAAACAGGGTGATATCTTAATTTCAATCCATTAAGTTTACCTAAAAATTTGTCCAGATAAGCAGGATGTTTGTCTGCAGCCTACAGTGGATTATCTACACTCCGGAGCTTCTAATTTCTAAATGTGTTTAGATATTGAAAAATCCTCTCAGTTTCTAAATATATGGAGACATTACCATCCAGAGTCCAATTCAAAATCATAGCAGAGTGTTGATTTGAGTGCATTTGTTCCGTCGAACCCACCAACGAGATAAACGCGACTACCCACCAAGACACAACCAGCGTACACCCTGCGTGGGATTTCACCAATAAGACAGGAGACCTCATTGGCACCAATAAGTCGATCAGAGCAGTTGTAGAGACCCTCGGGGAGCTTAGCTGGTGGATGCACAACCGACTCGGCGTCCATTGGAGAGGTCGTGGAACCATCCGGTTGCAGACTATTCAGCCATTCGTACTTGGGGCTCTGCGTTTGACAGCCCGCCTCAGTCCAAAGCGTCCATGAGTTGCTGCAGGGACTGTAAATCTGAGCTGCGGCTCGGGGACCCTCTCCATCGCACCAGCCTCCAAATACACAAAGAACCTGTGCGAAAAAAACGCTACCTGTGTTTGTATATCAAACTGTGATAAGTATGGAATTCCACCCAAAACAGCAGCACAGGATTCACTATAATTGCTGGATTTTAGCCTAAACCCCTATTTATTGGAGTTTGGGGCACTATAGTGGATCATGAATGACACAAAGTGACCTCAAAAATTCAAACCTGAAAGTTCAGTCTAAATTTATGACTACAGATCTCACAAACGGAGGACTCATTCGAGGGAAAACTGTAAGTTGGGTTGAAATTTTATGCGCTGCGATATTGCAAAAAGAATAATCAACATTTGTAGACCAACATACTGGAAAGTTTTGTCAAAATGTGCCTTTTGCATCAGGGCGGTAAAGAATGCCCCTCCGTTCTAATTATCTACTCGCAGTATCCCTTCGAATGTTTTTAAATGGTATAAAAAAGGGCAAGTTAACGTAAGTTCCAATTGTGGATTCAACTAACTGAGTTGTATGCTTCTTCTTAAAAAAACCAAATGAATACTTTTTTTGATAATTTAACACTCTCACAAACTTACTTCATGGGGCATTCTTGGTTTGGTCAAATTGTGGCGTTGAGTTTCATTTAAGCGGCCCAAGAGTGCGTAAATACTATTGGGCCACTCAAGAACCGTCTGAGCAAAATCAGGAACAAGGGTGAGATGCTCGTGAGTTTTCATCTTCTCAAGGTCGGTTTCACTTGCCATACCCAAACGTATGTTCCAGAGAAGGTTAAGGGCTTGGTCCATTCGTTTTTCTTGGTCTGCTGATATCCATCTCATTGTGGCGGAAAAGACAGTAACTTCACTTTTACAATTAAGAGCATCACTTCTGATTATGGACTCAACGTCTTCTGCTTCCATATGAAGAAATTCATCGGACAGCCACACGCTTTCAAAGTTCTCGAGAATCTTTTGAAAGGCCATTTCGCCTATCTCAGGCCAAAATAACGACCTTCCCCTTAACCAAAGATTGATTGCTGTTGATGGATCGTTGGAAATCTCCTGAATATAGGTTGCGCACTCCTCCTTTAATCTTAACACCAAAAGGTAATCAGCGGCTATGAATATGTCATAAATATTTTCTGGAGTAATAGGGGTAGAGCCACGTCTAATATACTCGACTACTGAGTTGAAGCCAGCATTGAGGAATTCCGGCAGGCGGATAACTCCGCGTCCTCTATGATAGCGCAGTAGTCTCTCAAAATAAGCACTCTGCTCAGCTAATTCCACTGTCACGATGCTGCAAATATCACCAGACTCCATAAACTCGACGGCTCGATCACAAAGAAAATCTGTTTCACTATCCTGGGAAAGTCGTGGCTTTTCCTGTCGGGTGTTAAAAGGGACACTAGAATTACGCCGTCGTGTGCCATTTTGGTCGAAAACAATTGAACGACGGACATCGCGTTGCCTTACATCACTAGTTGGCCTACGCATCTGTGCCTTACACAAGTGTTAGGCAGACAAGAAGATTAAACAGTGCTTGAAAATGTTGGGTTTCTGAGGCAAAAAGTTTAAAATAGAGTTACAAAGGTGCATAAACGGCTCCTCGTGACTTTCAAGCTTGTTTGAAAGTCAATAATTTGGCATGTTTCATCGATCTAGGAAAGTCAGCTGTCTGGATCTCATTCACAATGTTTCCATCGGACCCTGAGCTACGTTATTCATTTTATCAGCTGAATTATTATCAAGTTTTGTTAGTCTAACCATGAAATTTAGCGACTTCATACAGTTTTATGGATGTATTCCTCGTTAATGTAGACGTATTTTTAATAGATTTCTACAGCACATTGAAATGACCCGAAGGCAAAAATTTTCGTAAGCAAATATTTGCCCATATTGAGCTTTGTTGACTTCTTTGTGCCTTGTCAGATTTTGAAAGTTTTACCAAAGCACCTACTCATTTATTATTGTGAAGCTGTAAGTTCGAAGAGGATCGAACGCTGCCTTAACTTTAGCAGCCATGAACATACACCATAAATTCTCTTTGACTTTCGTGCTATTGCTTCGAGGAGAATCTAGAATAAGCAAAATCCCATTAAATCTGTGGTGGTTAAGCAGCCACAGCTTCTCAGTAGATGCTCACTTGACCAATTTTTTTCCGAATACGAATAGGATCTCTGATTGTAATCATACTACCCTCAGATTCTCTAAAAATGTGTCCACGCACTCACCTCGATGACTTTGCACCCAGAGGAAGAAAAAACGGTTATATCGTCTTCTCGCCACTTTCATTATCCATTTGGGTATTTTGAGTTTTGACAAAAATAGGTTTCTGAGGGGCCTGTTAGTTACTAAAAAGGTTTTTTTAACCAAAATTCCTCAGATTTTTAGTACATGTAATCCAAGACATTTAGGCAAATGACGTCTCCGATCACTCCCATCCCTTTACGAAAATCTTGCTTTATGGGTTTTAGAAAAGGATGCGATTCAATTTTCATTTTACCTGCAGATAAATACGATCACTTAATGAAAAAAGTGGTACTGATCGCATCCAGTCATTTGAAGTTCCGGGCGAGGTTAAAATGATCACTAAGAGAAAGAGCAACGAATAACATGCAGAATTTCGGCAGAGGTTTTTCGTTTTCAGATATGATAGCATCTTTTTTAATAAATTGACAGCTTTATTCACTTAATGTAATTGTTTAAGTGGTAATTGTAGCGTGGTATTCAGGTCAAACTGTACACGAAAGTTAAAAAATCGATGCAATTTAGCGAGAAGCATTGTGAAGGCTAAATTGAAATTCTTCCTATCCAGCCGCATCTCTACTGGCTTAAAATATTCATGAGAAGAATAAGGAATCTGGCTTGCACCTTAACACTAGGAGCATCATATTTTTGGATACAAAAGGTACAAATTCAGACTATAGGCGGTAGGATGACGCGTATATCGTGGATTGAAATTTGTGCATTGCAGAGTTGCTCCACTTTGCTGAACTCGCAGCTTCCATTCAGTCATGAAAATATAGGTAGAATGAGACTCGTGGCAGTTCTAACCACTTTTTTTCATCAAATAGCATAAAAACGATTAAAAGAATATCCCCAAGTTAAGCTTAGATCAAATTTCTGTAGAAAACTTCTCAAACCTACTGGTAGCAGCTTATCTTACAAAAATGAACCCGTGGGTTCACATGATTATGGCGTTCAAATATCGAATGTCAACCGTGCTTAGGCATGTGGTCTTGAACCACGCCGGGGTCATTGAGTTAACTCTAGCTTGATTACGTTTCCCTACTACCATCGATGAAGAAAAAGACCGGAGAGGACGTGTACACAGCTGTTTACTCTAAACCTCAACCACGTTGGCGTCCTTGTGTCGTGTGTGACGTTTGCGCGTGTGTATTAATGCTTCAGGTGTGTGAGTCATAGATGAGCCAACATCGAGAACTTGGCGTGGGAATAATCCAGGATAAATGTTTGGGCTGCTGAAGGGGAATTGAGAATCCGCGCGGCTGGCGACATGCTGTGATCTTGAACCACGTTGGGGCCACTGAAATAAGTCTAGCCCTATTACGCTTGCCTAATACTCGCGATGAAGAAAGAGATCGGAGAGGACGTGGACACAACCGTTTACTCTAAACCTCAACCACGTTGGTGTCGTGTCGTGTGTGGGGTTTGCGCGTGTGTATTTATACCTCGGATGTGTGAGTCATACAGGCGCTAACATCGACACGTATGTGTGGGGATACGCCAAGATAAATATTCGTGCTAATGAAGGGGGAGTCGAGGATTCACGCGGCTGGCGACATGCTGCGAAAAAGGGAACCCTGTGCAGGAGGTGAAATGAACGGATTAAGGGGTGTGAATGAAAACGATTCACAAAAAATCAATCGGAATTTAATTACCTCATTCTAATCGCTTTGCAGGAAGTAAACTAAGTAGTTGATAACAGTTTGTAGTACCTTTCTTGTGCCACATGCCCAATCTTTTCCACTCAGGAACTCGTAGCAGGACCACGCCAACTGGACGCAAAGCAAATATCAAATGCTTGAATCCGTTAGTATTTTAATTTGTCAGAGTCTGAGTTATCGCTCGTGAAAATGTTCATTCATGTCGAGGCTCTGATTCGGGTTTGGTGTAAATAAAGTATTTGGGTAATCATGCGTGAACGCTCCGATAGACACGCATCACTAGCAACTACTTCTTGTGGGTAATTCATAGAAGGAATCAAAAAACGCCATCTTTCAAAATTGCCGAAGGACTTTAAGAGTAACCGGAAGAACACGTATATTTTAAGTCGAATGGCTGAGAAGCTCAAGCTAGGACAGTGGTGCGGTATCGTTACTTCTTCACTCCCTCTCTGTCAAATTGGCAATATCATGGTGTGAAGGGAATTCTGTCTATTTTTGCATTTGGGCAAAAAACGAAGCTCAAAGAAACATACTAAGCAACTGGTTATCTTTGTCTGCGAATCAGGCTCGATTCATTAGAGTCTATTTTGATCAACTTGCTAGGCGTTTCATCATCCTGTAGGAGATATCGGATTTATAAAAATCACTTGTTATGTTCTCCTATTTGTTGAAACATTCAAACGGTCTTAACTAGATAAGCCTGAGGGATTTCCCAATACTTCGTTTTAGGGTATAACTATGGTATGTAACATTTGGCATGTAACTTCTGGGTTTCTGCCTCAGATGTTTTACAAGCCTGGCAAACTTGCTGAGCGTCATTTCAAATGTTTTTTTTCAATTGACAGAGTTCAATGCTATACTGGGATATACACTCATACACGATATATCTCACATCGTATTCCTAACTCCTTTATTGATTAGATTTATTAATCTCGATGTGTTTGTCGTAACAAAAAACCATGCGTGGGACGCATACTTTGAGATGTTGGATCAAGTAGGATCAACTCAAAATTACGTCAATATAATTTCGAACATATTTTTGCTAATTTTACTTAATTTAATCATTCAAATATGTAAGTAACTGTGAGTAAATAGATGCGCGAAATTTCAATTCCGGAAAATTAGGACTGCTCTAGCTGACGCTGCCATTGGGTTGCCTCGATGCAACGATTCTTACTCTTATGGTAAAATGTTCATAAATCAAAGCCAAAAGTGGTGCCTTGGCTGGGGAGCTACACAATTTTACAAAAACGAGCAAAATGAGGTTTTCAATAATTACTGGATAAACAATTAATCTAAGTTGTTTACATATTTATATTTATTGCTATTTCCTCAAAATTCATGTTTTTGAAATGTCCCAAATACCACATCGGAAATTTAACTCACAGCCTGCACCTTTGCATGATCTAGTTTTTTGAATTGATTGCCATGGTTTGCACAATGATTAATTTAATCGTGCTGATCTGGCTTAATGTAGGCAGGAAACAGCTTTTAATTGTCTTTACAATCGGGGGGCAATTATTCAAAATGATTATACGATTAATGCCGATCCAAAGTTTGATGTTTCAGTTTTTGTTGTATAAGTTAGTTTATGCAATCGTTGCTGCTAGTTTCCTTGACTAAGAGTCGCATTTTGTTCATCGAAACATTTCATTAGAAGACGAGAACGAGAGTTTACAGGGGTCCAATGATCAGGGAGGCAATCCAGTTTAATCTGACACCTAATTCTTATAATCAACGTCGCTGTGACAATTATAGTGACCCACTTGAAAAAGTGCCTGACTAACAGTAAATGTCTACCAAGCGTTTTTAACTAATGGAAAGGTAAAAGGGAAACAAAGGTTGGTAGAGATCAGAACCTCTGACTTGTAGTATAAATCATCTGACTGATGCAATGTCAAATTTGAGAGGGACCTCCGCTTTAGATTCTCTATCTTTTTCATTGAAAATCTTGTGTTTTTATAATGGAAAACGATGCACTTTGATTAAATAACATTATGTATTCTTAAAATTAAGCAGTGAGCACATTACAAAGTTGTGCACGGCGACGTCCAGCACTTTTAATTTAAATGGGACTCAAAACATCATGGGCGATGGTTATTTTGAGCTCCTACCACAGTGACATTCATTGTCAAGATGCAGACCAAATTTACGTGTAAGCAAGGGTGCTTGTCTTAATGTTTGCTTCCTTTAATGTGAAAAATACGGATTGGAATATTCCTCGAGGAGTTGAAATTTAATGAAGAAGCACTTTTCATCCCTTTGAACCTTGTGCAGTTGTATCGAACAATATCGCAATCTAAGCCTTTGTCTTTTTTATTTCATTAATGATTCTCCAATGGTCTGTACGGCATCCCAACTTCCTTACCTAGCTTAATTAGTCTAAAGAAGTGTGCAAGGTGACTTACAGCTCCTAATCTTAGTTGATACCTATAATACTGTCACCACCATTGTTAATGACAAGACTGCACGATCAAGTGGACATATTTTATTTGTTCAGGAGACATGATGTGCCATTTTGATGTATTTGTGTATGTGTGCGTTCACACATTAATAGAGAAAATATGGACATGAAAAATCGACTAT